CGCCGTTCTTAATTTCATTTAAAACCCCGTTTAAACTACTTTCCAAGTCCGAAATTTTCTTCAAACAGTCAGCCAACACCAGTGTCTCTCTTCAAATTACCATATACCTTTGTCACAACAAAGATACATTTCTTTAGTAAAAATTTAACTATAATAAATAAGCCATAGATTATGACCAATAATAATATTGTCACCAACTGATTATTTATATCAAATTTATTAATATTTTTATGCAATATTTTATGACCCATATCCTTATATATGAAAATTTTATTAAAAACTAGGCTCATTATATTTATCAAAATACATACCCATCTAATATTATAAAAAATAGTTTATCAAAATTGTTGTGAAAATTTTTTTTACCTTTATAAACCAATCCACAGTTCCGATCCTGCGTAACGGTCACCGCTTATTTTAACACGTTCTTACTCTTTAATATAATTATTTCAACCTCCTACAACTCACTCTTATTATTAAAACAAAATAATCTTATATAAATATAACTCAATTTTAATTTATTTTCAAATATTGTTATTGGTAAACAGGATAGAAATAAGAAATTATTGACATCAAAAACAAAGAATACAAGAATAAATTTTTTGCATAAAAAATATATATCTTGATCGAAATTTCGACGATGAAAAAAAATATTCAAAAAAAACTAATGATTGACATTTGTTTTAATAATATTTTCTTTTTTTCACCAATCACAATATCTTAAACTAAAGATTGACATTTTATATATAAATGTATATAATTATTTATAATATAAGCCCAGACAGTTACCAACTTTTTTGGTATTCGAAGTAATCTTAAAAATCAGTAAAAAAAAACTACCCTACTCTCATCGGAAATTGCAAAATGAGTATAGTTACTCGGAGAAAACAAATCTAAAATACATTTTTAGACCTGGCAACTAAACTAAAATTCACAATAATTTCAAAACAATGATAATACAATAACTAAATAATAATGATAAAAATAATGTAATATAAAAATAATAGTGACATAAAAATATCGTTAGCATAATAATGAAGATAATTGATAAGCTAATAACGAAGGTACATTACATTCATCTATTTTATTTACACTAACATATTCATAATATCCTGCGCTAATTGGAACTAATAGATAAGTGCAAACCCTACTCTTTCCTCTATCTAACTGACTACATATAGACAGAATTGGGCCGTTATAACAGATATTTGAATCTATATCTTTTTTCGAAAAGATTTTGTAGCATTCAAAAAGATAGATACTTAAAAAAATTATATTTAATTTAAATAGTATTAATAAAATTTAGAAGAAAGATTAAATCCGAGTTGATATTTTAAGATAGGGTAATAATATATGGTCGTTATATAGCAATTATCTAAACAATTACCATATTTTATTAAAATCGCCATACATCCATCACTACCCCACAAAATTAAGAACCAAGTAATCGAAGATATAATTATAGAATCGGAAAGTTAAAAAAAATGATACCACAAGGAGAATACAATTACAAATATAATTAAGCATATTAAATAGAAAATTTTCAATGTAAATAATGCCACAATTTTATAGTGGCTCTGTAGACTCGCCATCTAATTTAGTCAAGTATCTTAAGGTATATTATATAATTTAATCAAAAATCACATTTATGATATTCATAAAAAGAAAACAATCTTCTTCATCATCATTTTAATCCCAAAATTAGTTGTAGAAAATTAAATAATCTATTAATTTCGTTTGTTATTAAAAGACTGCATCTTTTATCTATAAAATCATTTATTTATTTTTGGTGATGAATTTTTTTTTTGTATCTTGGGTAATCATTCTTTTAATATATTATTATTTGTAAAAGAAATAAAAAGAGTAATTTAAGAAATAAATCATTATTTTCTTCCAAATTTATTTTTTACTCTTTTTTTGAGTATTTTATTCTTTTTTAATAGATTTGACTAGTTTTTGTTTTCTAAAATTATTTTATAAAAATATTTCTTTGCCTTCGAGAAAAAGATGAAAAAAAAACAAAGTAAAAACATTATAAAAGGAAAAAGTAAAATAAAAAGGGATCAACAAATGAAAAAGGAATAATTGCATTGATTTAAATTTAAAGGAGGAGCAAAATAGAAGCTCCTTCTATTAAAAAGTTTAAGATTTGAATTCCAAAGGAATTTAGTCGAGTTTAAAAATAGTAATTTAAAACATTTATTGAAAGCTCAGACATATACTGCACGCACTACTGGAGATATTTAGTCTACGTACTACTATTTAAGGTTTAAAAAAAAGTATCTTTAAATATAGTATTGAAAACAATAAGATACAATCTTGTATTATTAAAATTTTTGCTAAGTATCTAATATCTTAAATATAAAATTTTAAAAAGTATCATCATCCTCAACAATTTTCCCCCAACCCTGCATATAAGGATTCTATATAATAAAAAGGTCATATATCATGTACAAGATCTATATATTCAAAATACACAGAAGAGGGGTGACGATGAATTTTCAATGAAATTTCTTATGTGATAATGTAAATTCCAAATAATTTTTATATTTTAAAGTAATAGATAAAATTTATATAACATTTTTAATATAATACTTATATAGTTTTAGATCAGAGAATGAATATTGATAAACTTGAAAATTCAAGACAAATTTTTATGGCATTGTAAATAACTTAATTATTTAAAAAGACAAGCAGTGGTGTAGTAGAGGACCTTAAAAATGGAAGAATATTTTAAGGTGCCTTTACTGAAATTTTCGAAATATATAGAGGGCACGCTAAAAAATAAAAATGAAATTTATTATAAGTTCAGAGTCAAAATATTATAAAGGTAACGGTTTGTTTACAGTTTTTAAAATTTTTAATTTAAGTACATTTTATTTAAAGCACTTGTTAAATATAGATATAAGTAACAAAAATTTATTTTTAAAGCCACATTAATACTTCCATATTTTGAGGTTTTTGCCTTGAGCCAATTTTTAAAAACGGCTAACTCAATATTTTATCCAGAAAAATATTACGCATGTTTGTTTGTAGAGGGAACAAAGGTTTGGACATCTAGCGAGATCTCAAGGCTTAGGCAATATTCTTCAGGCATATTGAGTTAGCCGTTTTAAAAAATCGGCTCAAAATAACCGGTTTAATAACACTATCAAGTTAATGTTACATTATTTTCCATTTTTTGATATTTTTTATTCGCTAATAAATTTTGCAAATTTGTTATATAAATATTATAGCTATGAAATGTTATTTATACTGCAAAAATGAAATTTACTACAATAAAATCACCATCCATATACCTGTTTTAATTCATAACCAACCATTTAATTATTCTTTTTTGTATATTATATATTTCAATTCCAAAAATAATCATTTTTTTATACATGTATTTTTTAAATTAATTTTTTTAAAATAATATAGCTTTTCCCGATATAATATATCAGAAAAATATATTTTCACCCTTAATTTCAGATTCCTAGGCCATTTTATCCATATGCGCTCCCCTGAAGACATCCAACTCTTCCAAACTATTGATAAAATAAGCGAAATGAGTGGAAGCTTTGCCTAGTAAAAATTAGGGAACTCTTTGAACAACTAAAAGTTACCCTATCATAGACTTGGCAGTGACATAGTCCAACCTCATAGTTGCCTGAATTGAAACTTACCATTTAATGCTAAGGGAAGACATATGTTAAATTGTATTAAAATCCAGGGTGGTCAACAGCATAATTCGTCAATAAAATTCCTAAAAAAGCTTGAATCCCCTATATTTTAGAATCGCAACATTTTCTCAGATGATGGACTCACAACTATCCCCTGGGATATAAGTAAATCTTTCTATGAGATTATATCTGTTACCATTTCCCCTAAATATTAATACCAAGACATTTACTCAAGCCGAAGGAAAAAAATAAATAAACACAAAACATTGGATAACTATTTTTACTCCAATCGCCATAACCAGTGTATATTTAGACCATAATACTTTATCTTTCTAAAACTTTGACTCATAAAATATGAATCGACACATTGAAAACCATAGGATTCCTTTTCTTAAGACAAATGATACAAATAGAAATATTTAAATATATTACTGCGCTTTTTAGGAACTCAATTATTTTTCCATAATGACCCCCCCCCCCTATATTAAATATAATTTTGTATTTTCGATCGTTTTAATAAATACTATATATAAAATATAATCTAAAATAAAATAAAATCGATGTATGAATATAATTTGACAGCAATATAAGAATTTAGGATTATATATTTCAAACAGGGCCGGCCAAAGGGGAGCCCCGAAGGTGAATAGGTCTCATGGCAGTATGATTAATTTTTGAGATTCGAAATTCAAATTTAATTTTTATTAAAAAAAACTAATATTCTAATTCATTTTGTTAAGATTTGAGATTTTTTTAAATATTATAACTCATATTTTTGTTTGGTATCTTTATCTTATAGTTTATATCATTAATGTTCAAAATTTGATAGTATGAATAGTGTTTTTTAGTTAGCTCAACTCATTCAAAAACTTTAAAAAAACCTTACCATATTCAAACCATTAAACGTTCAGTAGTTCTCTGGTTTAGTTTAAAATTTTAAATCGGAAGTCAAATTCAGACTTCGATTTTAAAATTTATTCATTCCGGAACGAATAGGACTCGGACCTAGAAAATATTTCAATGATTTTGCTTTCCTAATGTTTTCATTAAAATTATTTCCAAGTATAAATACAAAATTACTTATTATCTTTAGGCCCTTATAATTTATCCGATTTCATAAAATATCGCGATTTTCGACAGCGCAATAATCTGAGGAAATGTCTGGGTCTATCAGATCTGACCTAGATAAACCCTCTAATACTGAACAATTTGCCGGAAGAATATTACTTGGAATATGATCTAAAAAATAAAGCTCTAGTATGGCCGTGCACTTCTTTAATGTTATGCAAGCATACATTAATTAATCGAATAAAGGACATGAGAATGATTGCTATATACTTTGATCATTCTTAAGGCTGACTTTGAGCTTGGGTGAGAGTTTGAAACGATTTTCAATAGTTTGTAGATCTTTCGGCGAAGTCTGTGAAACGAGTGGTATGTTATCTAATTGATTGTGAGTTAATTTTTCTAGAAAATATAGAATTTATATAAAATATATAACATAGTCGGATGATATCGTTAATTTCTTTTATTCTAACAATATTATTTAACGCGAGATGATATTTGATTTTATGCTATATAGTAATGTTGTAAACGAACGCATTCGTGAAGAAGTTCGTTTTTTTGAAAAAAATAATGAACGTTACTTTTATTTTTGACGAACTTTGAACGCTTCCTTTTTTTGATAAACACGTTATATGTTCGTTCAATTTTAGAAAATCTTATTTTTATTCATTTGAAAATAAAAAATATTAATTTAATATTAATCCAAATCTTTTAAGAAAAAAGGATTAATTTTTAATCAGCTGTTTATCACAATTGAATTTTTTTAACCAGCCATTATTTTTGACTTATAGTACAGTTTATTAATCTGAATATTATTATATTTTATAGATTAGCGTAAGCATGGGTGTTGTTATTTCAACATCATCATCTGATTCTGAATTCATTACCATGACCCAAATAAAATAAATACTTTACAGTGGCAAATATATTTAACTAATTCTATCCTTACCAAACGTAAAATGTGTCCAAATATTTCAAAATTTTCAAGCTCTAATTTAAAGATATTATTCTATATAAAATAACTCTAAGTATCCTATTAATAAGTTATTTTAGATTGTTGCATTTGATAGGCTTATTAAGTTATTATGATTATTTATTATAATAGATACATAAAGTAAAAATAATTAAATATAAAATAGTTAATATCTTTTAGAATTAATTTATTTTTAATGTGATTATTAGAAATTTCGCTATTATTTTTTAATTTTTACCAAGGGTTTTATATTTTAATAGTTTAACACAATTTAAAATATTATAAATTTATATATATTATAAATAATTAAAATTTATATTATATTAAAAATAAAATAAAATAAGAAATTTTTTTTTAATAAATAAAATAATTTTTTTATTCACTTTTAAAACTATAAATTTCAAACATGGCTAATAGTTAAAAAAAATATATGGTATTAATTTCCATTAAATTATATATTAAATGAAATTTTTAGTAAAAATTTATACATAAAGTTTTGAACGAACGTGTTCTTTTTTTTGATTGTGAACGTTGACCGTAAATGCGTTCGATTTTTGTCAATGGACGTTGAACGAGTCGATTTTTTTTAGAAATGCTTATAGCACTACTATATAGTGTCCGATTATTTATTTAAAAAGGATCCTCTTCAAACTTTTACTGGAATTATTAAAAATTCCCTTTCAAAACTAACTTGTTTTGGTTTTAAGTTCAACTTCTAAAAATAAAATCTAGTTTTTTTAAGAGGTACCAGCAGAGACCTATAAAATCGATTTTTTTTGCCTGGACACACTCAAGGTCTGGTGGTAAATAAAATATCACAGGCCAATCATCGGCCCATGGTCCGAAATTTTACAAATAAAATTTTGAAATATATCTCAAACTCAAAATATTTATTTTATTCTCTCAATAACTTTCATAATTTAAAATTTGATATGAAAATATAAATTATCCGCCTTTTTAAAACTTTTTTCCTTTTTTCAATTGTGATATTCAATCAAGCAAATAAAGAATAAGAAGGAAAAATAATTTAAATATTTTTCGGATCATGGACCGGATCTACAATTTATTGATAATATTATGACTCGGTAGCAGTGTTGTTAAAATAGCGCGCTACTTTTTTCAGTAGCGGTAGCTATAGCGCGCTACTTTTTTCAGTAGCGGTAGCTATAGCGCGCTACTTTTTTTAAAAAATAGCGATAGCGGTAGCTCGCTACAATTTTACATAAAAAATACATCTAAAAATTATTAAAATATATTTTTTATAAAATCTAAAATTATAATCCTTTTATTTAATTTAATTTTGAAATTTATATTTAAAAATATACATTATTGTTATATATTAGATATAAACAATAGCAATCTGTATTTAATTTATATTTCGCGCATTCATTAAATTATATATTTTTGAAATTCCGTTATTGGTATGTCCTTGCTTTTATCTTATTTTATATTTCATTACATTTTATATTAAGCATTATAAATCTTGTTATGTGTGAGATTGTTGAAGCTATTGAAATTTCTTTGGAAAATGAGCAAAATATAGATGATCCTTTCCCAAAATTCAAGTTGAAGAAAAAATTAATACTGGATATCGGTTTCGGTGCAAGATGTGCAGCAAAATTATCTCTTCAAATCATACGAGCAGCTTTAATTTGAAAAAACATTTAAAGGTAATATATTAAACAAATTTAATATCAATGTGTAGGCTAATCTTTAATTTTTAAAATAAATTAAAATCAAAAACCAATCATTTTTTTTATATATTCATAAATTTTATCTAAATTATTTAAAACATTTTAAAATAGTTATTTCAATCATTTTTATGTACTTATCTCCTACATAATTTTTATTCTAAGTATTTTATAATTTTAGACTGTGCACACTTCAAATTATAAAGAGAATGAAAAATATCTCAAAAGTTTTGGGGTAATGGAAGAAGATAAACCCACTTCCAAATCAAATTTAATACAAACAAAATTAACCAATTTGGATTCATCAACACCTGGTGTATCCCAAAAATTGGCTGACAAAGTCATTATGAACTTTATAATAGATACAGTTCAACCATTATCCTTGGTGGATAATGATTCTTTTATAAAGATGATAAACACTTTTTCTCCACGGACCAAGATATTTTGCCGGCAGACATTGATGGCAAGAATTGTGGAGAGCTTTAAGGAAATGAAAGAATCTTTGATATTAAATCTATCAGATGTCTCCTACGTCTGTACAACGGCAGATTGCTGGACTCACAATAGAAGGTAAAAATGTTTATTTTCTGATTTATAATATGTCATATTTTTAGAGCTTATTTAGGAGTAACTGCACATTGGATTGATCCTAAAAATCTTAAACGAAAATCTGTAGCGTTAGCTCTAAAGAGAATAATTGGCTGTCAGACTTATTAGCCAATATTATTGCAGAAATCCATAGGTCTTATAAAATTCAAAACAAGGTTTGTAAGATGATTACGGATAATGGGTCTAATTTCCTGAAGGCCTTCAGGTTTTAAATTTATTATAATTTTTTTATAATATGATATAAATAATATAGAATATTTGGGGAAAATAATAATAATAACAATACTAGTAATATTCCTGACAAAAATATTGAAGATGGAGAACAGGAAGAGGATGATATAAATTAGATTTCCAGATCTGTATGATGATGATAATGTAATAGCTGCTATCGTTCATCTTAGTTTCAAGTTAAATTGGCCATACATTAATTTGACTAAATCTAAAGGGCAACTTGATAGGCTGATGGTAACGTTAAAAAATGGCATGCCTAACCACGATACTATAGCAAGATCGAAACCGCAGCCTTCCATAGACGATATTTTTGAAATAAATAATAATAATAATATTATTGAACCTCTAGATGCTTTTTTTAAATCTAAAAATACTAATTTAAATATTTTTGATGATTTTTTTCACATAAAAAGTTTGTTTATTAAATTTAATACTGCGTTGCCCTCAAGTGCTAGTGCTGAACGATTATTTAGTATGGCAAAGCTTATACTTTCTGATCGTCGCTCTAGACTTGGGGATGACAGTACCGAAATGTTATTATTATTAAAGTGCAATATTAAATAAATTATATATATATATATGTAACAAATTATAGTCATGTTTTTATATCAATATTTTATTTGTGGAAATAAAGTTACGTAAAAAAAATATTTAAAAAAAAAATCAAAGTAGCGTAAAAAGTAGCTAATAGCGCGCTACTCATTTGAAAACGATAGCGGTAGCGCGCTACTTTTTTTATAAAATAGTGGTAGCGATAGCGCGCGCTACTTTTAAAAGTAGCGTTTAACAACACTGCTCGGCAGGCCCCATGGGCCAGATTTAATACATGGAAACTAGCTCTTTTTTTACAATAGCTCAAATTAAACCAAATTTTTGGCAGAGTTCAATCTCATCCATATGACCATGTTTGTTGTGTTTCTTGCGCTTCCTTTTATATCCAGTTGAACTCTGAGAAGGTATCCCACTTTTCGAAGGTTTAGTCATTTTAGGCCTAAAAAAATTTTCGGAATATTTGAGGAATTTGTGATTTTTTTCTTCCCGATCTCGTTCTAACTCGTTGATCGTGCGCAGATTCATATCGGAAGCGAAAGAATGCGCCGAAATGCTTCATGATATTAAAATGAGCTAGTTTATTCGTTTTATAAATTGATTTTGATCAAATTGATAATAATTATAACTAGATATAAATAAAACTACAATTCACAACTTTTTTTAAATCAAATTTTATTCAATTACCCTAAAAACTTCTCTTAATTTCAAAACACCTTATTTGATTTGTAATAATATAGGTACTCCTCTACTTAGATTATTTTTTGAAGTGCATAATTATAAAATGACGAACAGGTAAATAATAAATCACGACTGGCAAATTTTAAAAGATCATAGATACCCGTATTAAATAAAAAAAATTTACTTTACTCTCTTTGTCAATGAAAGTATACGCTCGTTGGTTTCAGGAGGATCAACCTCCATAAAATCGTGGCATCCTTAAAAAATCATGTATTATATTTAGGTTTAATAATTTTGTAAAGTAAAATTAGGGTAAATATTAGCCTTATTTGGGCCTGTTCGACTTTTAAATAAAGAAATAATTATTGTTTGAATCAATAAATATAATAACTTTAAATGCGAGAAAAGGATCCGTGTATTAAAAATTTATGGGCCAATTCCATTTTATATTTTAAACCCTATTTTAATTATTAAAAAAATGAGTTTCAACAAAATAAATCGATTCCTAATTACTATTTTTCATTAGTATAAAGAGTGCTAGACTAGAATATGGAGCTCATAAAATTTATTTGCGATAAATTGATAAATATAAGATCAAAGATACGGAATTGATATTCGAAATTAATTTAGAAGGATATAGAAAACAAATTAAAAATTATTACTTAAAATTCATTACAAATTAAAATATAAATTAACTATACCAATTTTATGAAAAAAAATGTTTTTTTCTTTTTTTATACTAAATGAAACGGGTTACAAAAAATGGTTCTAAACTTTTAATTATATTATATTGTATACTATAAATAATCACCGGGGTGGCGTAATGGGTTATGATATATGCTTGGAAACAGAAGGACGCAGGTTCAATCCTGGTAAGGAGCATAAAAACTTTCAGGTTTTTCTTCGATAACTGATGTATAAAGACATATGGTAAGATGATTTTCGGAGCTTAGAGATGACACCCCGGTCACCGACAGGCCTGGACAGCCGAGTGCTAAGGATACTTGTACAATAAACAAAATGAAGAAAACAAATGAAAATATGAATATGAAAGCTAGGGCGTTCCCTCCAAGCGACGCGCAGGGTGTAGACCTCCATCCTGTGAAAAGTAAAATAAAGGTCAAAGCAAAGAAGACAAGATTAGCAAGTTTGAATATTGGTACACTTAAAGGTAAAATGAGAGAATTGGCATCAATGTTGAACAAGAGAAAAGTTGATATAGCGTGCATACAAGAGATGAAATGGAAAGGTCAAAAGACTTCAATGATTGAAGGTGGGTATAAATTGTACTATAATGGAATTGTTAGCAATAGGAACGGTGTCGGCATCATCCTCAGTCAAGATCTAACTTCCTGAGTAGTAGAAGTTAATAGGATCTCCGATAGACTAATGAAGATAAAACTCTGCATTGGTCAATCAATGCTACACATCCTTTCAGTATATGCTCCTCAATTGCAAATAAGAAGAGAAAGATGACTTTAGAGCTATCCTTGATGAAGCTGTAATGGAAATCGCTAAGGATGACCTAGTCATAATTGGGACTTAAATGCGCATGTGGGGAAAGCAAGAGATAGCTACAGAAGGTATCATGGTGGTTTTGGATATGGAGAAAGAAATGATGAAGGAGAACATGTACTGATATTTGCGCAAGCCTTCGACCTTGCCTTAACCAACACCTATTATAGGAAAAAATACAGTCATATAACATATGAAAGTGGTACAAGGAAAACACAGATAGATTACATGCTAATCTCTCGCAGAAGATTAAAAGATGTAATAGACTGCAAAGTCGACCCAGGAGAAGATATGACCGCGCAACACAAGCTACTTAGTCATGGATTTACACATCTCAAATAAATCCACTCAAAATAAGATAAAACTTGAACCATGCATCAAATGGGGTGAATTAAAAGCAATGACAGATGCCTTTGCAATCAATGCAAACATTGAAACAATAGATTCTCACAAGTCAGTGAAAAAATGTGGACAGACCTTTCATCACACTGCCAAATCGACACTAGGCTTGTCAAGGGGAGGCAACAAATCATACAAAGAACTATGGTGGTGGAATGAAAAACCACTATACAGGAGAAAAAAGCCCTATATAAAATATGGTAAAAATCTAAAAACCCAAAAAATCAAGAGAATATCTACAAAGGCGGTGGCTAGGGCAGAAGGGCAAAATAAAATATACAGATTAGCCAAACAGCTAGAAAAGAATTCTAGAGATATAAGCGGAGCTCCGAAAGTAATCAAAAATAAAGATAAGAAGTTGATAATAAAGGAAAAAGAAATACAGGAGCTCATCAAGACGAACATTTTTTATGTCAAAACCTTGTACAACCTATAACAAAACAAGAAATAATCACATGCAGCATATGAAAAACAACAAAGCTAGGGGTCCAGATGATATTCCAATAAAAAGCCTTAAAGCACTAGGAGATGATGGAATACATTTTCTCACAAATCTACACAATAAAATACTTGGAAGGGGCATAAACTAATGTCACACTGTCTAAAACTATACGAAAAAATAATAGAAAAAAGATTAAGAGACATAATCGAAATAGGAGACTCAGTTTGACTTTATGCCTGGAAGATCAACACCTGGTGCTATCCATGCAATTAAATGAGTGAAAAATACAGGGAAAAGAGCAAAAAGCTACACATGGTCTTTCTCGATCTAGGAAAGGCCTACGATAGAATCCCAAGAAAACTTATCTGGTGGGCGCTATGCCACAAAAAGGTTCACGAAAAATATATATGAATAATACAGAATATGTATATGGGCCATACAACAATGGTCCGTAGCACAATAGGTACTTCAGCAGGCTTCACAATAGCCGAAGGAGTTCATCAAGGGTAGGCTCTCAGCCCACTTCTCTTCATTACAGTAATAGATGTATTAGCACAGTCTATACCTCAAACAGTCCCGTGGAATATGATATTTGCAGATGATATTGTGATACTTGCCAAATCTAAGGATGAAATGAAAGAAAGATTAGTGAGTTGGATAAATATCCTAGAAAAGCACGGACTAAAGGTAAATAGAGAAAAGACGGAGTATATGGTGATAGGAGGAGATGAAACAGAGAGTATTGATATAAATGAATGGCACATATCGGCATTTGAAATCTGCAAATATTTGGGCTCCACTATACAAACAAACGGCACAATAGAAAAAGATAAAGAGTAAAATTAATCAAGGGTGGTTAAAGTGGAGATCTTTATCTGGAGTGCTATTTGACAAAAGAATCCCACACAAATTAAAGGGAAAAATTTACAGTTCCATAGTACAACCAACTATTCTATATAGTTCGGAAACATGGCCAACCAAAGAATTAGACGAGAGAAGTCTTAAAACTATGGAGATGAGATTGCTGGGGTAACAAATAAAGTGCGCAGTACAAGAATACTAAGTAGTTTAAAGGTAATGCCCATTAAGACTAAGTTAATGGTAAACAGACTTAGGTGGTATGGGCACACAATGAGAAGGCCTATGAACTACATAGGAAAAATGTTGAGGAAGTGATGGGCAAACGTAAAGAGGAAGGCCAAAACTTCAATGGGGACATAAAGTTAGAGCCAATATAAAGAAGTATAAATTAGATAAAAGAGATTGTATGAATAGCATGAGAGAGATCTTGAAGGAGCTTACCACCAGAAAAGGTGAAAGCTAAAGAGAAAAAAAAAATATTGTATACTATAAATATTTAATTTATATTAGATTCGTACTAAGATATATTTGCAAAAATTTTATTCCTCTAAAAAAATGTATATTGATTAACTATTCAATTTCATTTAAATTTATTGATTTTGACGTTATGATCCAATAAATGCAAATGAACAAAGGCTTCGTATAATTTTAATTAAAACTACAGAATTTAAATCATTGTTAAAAATGATGACTTTGTCTCATCTCTGTATTGTGTTCTTTTTAAATTACGACCGTTCTAGTCAAATCGCTATTTAAAATAATACATTAGAATCACCTAACATAAGTTTCTAATATGGAGAGCAGAAGGTGGGAGAAAGGATCCTCGATAAAAGGTAAGGATAAAAATACAAGAATGAGTAAAACTCTCGCAAGGAGATTAATGAATCCCCTTCTTCCTGTGGGGGGGGGGGGGGGTAATTTCACTATTTTTTATATATTTACTATTAATTTATTCAAATTGAAATATTGAATAAAATTTATATTATATTCCTTTATTATATTTGCAATTAATTTACTTGATGATTTAAATTATATACTACAATACAAAATATTATATAAACTGTTTTTGCAATATATTTATCTTCATGTTTTGTTACAATTAATTTTTGAATATAAAGTGAGAAACAAAATTTACCTTTGATATAAAATATGCTGTGTTCATTAGTAATAATTAAGAGATTTCAGAGATACTAAGATTATAGTTAATTATGGGTGAAATTAATTCTCGAAAGGAGAGGTAAAAATTTCCAGGTAGGGAGTAAAATTGTCGGCGTCTTAGAGAGTGTAGAAACCGCTGCAAGAAAGTAAAAGCGAAATAGCCAATTTCGCTTAACAACTATTGCGTAATATTATTTTGCATATTTCACTCAGTTTAAGGTGGTCATATACGAATTACTATTTTCAATTAGAATTTTACTATGGTAATTTATTATATAAATTATAGAACTTCCAAGTTAGGGTAAATTTTGCGTAACTCATGCACATGTTCAAAAGTTAAGATTTCGATACACCTATTTTTTGGTTCTTTCGAATTTGTGCTGACCCAAACATCATTTTTGTAAAGATATCTTTTTATACGTTATTAGGGAGAAGGATCCTTGGGTTAGTACAAATTCGAAAAGAACCAAGTAAAATCTTAGTGATAGGGCTTATGTAGCCGTTCATAGAGTTGTTTTCTAAGGGGATGTTATGGTACACACTTATACTTGGTAACATCTAGAACGGCTGCATCAGTCCTATCACTAAGTTATTTGGTCCTTTTCGAATTTGTGCTGAAAGAAAATCCTACTCCTCAAATAAAAGTCGATCTTCAACAATACCACATTATCAAATTATATGAAATTATATAGCTATTAAAATGTAATTCATTAAAAGATTATTGACGGAAAATATGAATCAGGTGGAGACTTGTCCCGATCTGGAAAAATAAATGGAGTTGGATCCATGATCTTCTCAAATATAAAAACAAATATTTGTTAAGTGTAATTTATTTTTATATAAAATACAATTACCTAAAACGTTACTGCAAGATAGCGGTTGGTCAACGTCATGACCCTTGTCTCCCACATTTTCAGCCAATAGCTGTCTGTCGAGAACGTTTTTATACCCTGGAAAGATGTTAGATGCAGAAAACAAAAGACGGTTTTCCACTTCATCGTTGGCTTCTCTACTAGATCTTAGAGAGATAGGAAAAGAATGAGAAGATATATTATCATCACGGTTCGTGTGGGTATTTTGGGAGGTTTTGGACCGGTTTGAGATTTGATATTTCAGCAAGACTCTCTTCATTCTTCTTAGGTCCAAAAGTAGTTATGATGGGAAATATTATCTACGAAGTTTAATAGTGTTTATCCAATTATTTGTAAGATTTTAGCAAATTGGGGAAAAACTAAAAAATTGCAAATGGTGATTTTTTTAAAAAAACATTAACATAAAATAATAGTAATAAAAAAGAGTTTCATCCTTAATAGGCTAATCCCAGTGGATATATTTTATTATGTTGTTGGTCCGAACCAAAAAAGAATAATGCATTGTTCAATTCGTGTTCGTTTTTGAATAGGCCTAATATGGAGTATAGAAAATAAATGAATGAAAAAAACATTATTTTGAGTCAATATTTCTTTACGTACTTTAAACTCTGAAATCTGTTTTAAATTTTATTCCTGAACCCGGACCATTTTTTTATTCGAATGGTTAGCATTATAGCGGTAAAGCATTTAAATTTCAATTTTTTTAGTGAAAATAGCTTAAAGTTTGTTAGGGTCAATGTGTTTATTCCGAATGTGTACTTTAAATCATTTTTGAGAGATTTTTTTTAAATTTAAAAATCGGATTTAACCGAAAATGTATTTCAGCATTAGATAATTTTACCGTTAACCTTTGAGTCATATATATATATATATAATCTATGGAAAAACAAATATAAATTATATTAAGTTCAAATGTTCATGGCGAAATTGTCTGATATTTAAAAAAAATTAAAAAGAAACTTAATGATTATATGCTAATATATTAAATTATATTAATAATATCCTTTTACCTTGAATTCAATATTAAAAATAAGTCATAATTTATTTTGTAATAAATTTATCCATAATTTATACATCCAAAATCATCGCGATATTTCTACAAATATAAAATCAATGGCGATCCTTTTTCAAATATAAATCAATGGCGATCCTTTTTCAAATATAAAATCAATGGCGATCCTTTTTCAAATATACCATAATGAAAATCTTTTTCCATTAAAACAAAAATGAATCCTTTTTGTCGTATTGGGATATGGAATCATGTGGGATTCGGAATCCCAACGTGGGGATTCGAGATCTTGAATGAATCCCCACGTTTTATTATAAATCTTTTTTTTTATATTTTTAATTCCGAATCTTCATAAAAATAAATAAATAATATAATTACTTTTTCTTACCTTTTTTGTCATCTGGCTGGCACCATATAATTAAAAGGCCAAAATAAGGGATTTAAAAAGAAAATTTAAAAAAATGTAAATAATATAAAATTAAATGAAAAATAAGGTTAAAAATTTTTCTTTTAGTAAATTTATAAGAAATATTGAATATTTTCACATGAATATATATTTTAAAAAAATCCGAATTAAAAAAAAATTATTTATAACAATTCTTCAATGCTATATTATATTTCGTTGAAATTTATGGTTGTTCTTGTAACACAAACACTTTTTATTCATGCAACCCATTTTTTCTATGTTTGTGACATTCCGAAAGCTCCTAAATATTTTTAGTAGTTTAAATAAATAATTATTATATTTTATGTACATAAATTAATTTGAGGAGTATATGTGGTTACTTAAAAATAGCTAAATTACCTATGATTGATATATCTTTGTTGAAAACTTCAACATTTAATTTATAGTTTTAAACAGACTAGAGGCAATGAATTGTGCTGAAGTTCTTCCAGCACAAGTTCCTACCCATATTTTTTTCAATTTTTAATACTTTCTCTTCTAAATTTTTAGGAATAAAGTAACTCAGAGACCTGCAGAGGTGCCATTTGCACGGCCCGGCTAGGATTTTTTTAAAAAAAATATATTATATTTATTTTTAATGGCGATTTAAAATATTTGATTTTAAAATATACGGCCCAGCCTGGGTATTTATATTTAAATAAAATACGACTTGACCCGTGTATACCCGGGCCGGGCTTAGGGCCGGACCTGCAGGTCTCCGAAATAACTGATATGAATCATCAATAATTTAATTTTAATATAAATTAGTAATTGTATTGGGCGAGATTTATTTTCAAAGAATTTCTAAATTATTACATTTTGAAATGAAATTTTTAATATGAATTAAAAATCTTATTAGGCGGGATTTTTTTTCATGGAATATCTAAATTATTACATTTGAAAATTTATATTAATACAATTATTTTATTTATAATATTAGTTTAAAATTTTTTTAATGCAATTTTTTTTACCCAAAACAGTTACAGAATATAATTTATGTAAAACCATATTAAAAACACCCAAATACAAATCTATTCAAAATATATGAGAGGAAATGTAGATAATATTTTTAACGATACCGTCACTTTTTTTATTGTTTAGCAATTAGGAAAATTATGTGAAGCTATATAAATTGTTATTAAAATAGCAAAGGTTTCAATCAAGGATTCGCACTTTCGAATTGTCCATAATATTACTAATAGTCCTTGTTCAAAAAATGTTGGCCATAAAATTACATGGAAAAATATTTGCGCTACCAATAATATTGGGATAAGTATTTCTAATATTTTAAAAAGGGCCCCTTCTTTTATTTTATATTTAAATGATCGTGGGCGTCAAAACTTATTCTCAAATTATTGGACAAAATAACTTTATCTTAGGTCATCACTTGTTATTATCTATCCATAAGACAAATATCTGTCTTAAAAATTTAGAAGGGAAAGTATTAAAAATTAAACAAATAAAATAAAATATGGGTAAGAACGTGTACTGGAAGAATTTCCGCACCATTTATTGCCACTAGTCTATATAAAACTACAAAATTAAATGATATTGAAGTTCCCAACAAAAATCATAGGCAATTTGCTATTTTTATAGTAACAATATATACTCCTCAAATTAATTCATGTACATAAAATATATTAATTTTTTATCTAAACTGGAGTTTCTCGGAATGTCACAAAATATGGGAAAACATAGTTATGCAATTGCAAAATGGGTTGCATGAATAAAAGGAGTTTCAAGAACAACGAAATGTCAAATTGCATTGAATAATTGTTGCAATAAATAATTTCTTTATAACTCTGATTTTTTTAAAAATATATATTCATGTGAAAATGTTTATGATTTTATATAAATTTACAAAAAAATGTCATTTAACCTTATTCCTTTTTATTCATTATATGCCTTAATTTTATACTGTTTACTTTTTTAAACATTCTCTTATCATTTTTGATTATACAATTTATTTATTATAGCAAAATATTTCTAAAAAATAAAATTTTCTGGTGCCAGCCAGGCGGTAAAAAATGAAGAAAAAAAATATTATTTAATTGTTTTAAAAAAATATATTCCGAATCCCCATGGGTTTTAAATATTTTTAAAAAAAAGATTTAGAAAAAAAGATTCCTAAAACAAGTTGGGATTCCGAATCCCACATGATTCCATATCCCAACGACATATATATATTTATTTATATTTTTGTCTTTCTTTTAATAAAGCAAATATAACAATATTTATAGGCATTTCCGGTAAAAACAGATTTTAAAATTTAAAAAACGCGTTCAAAAAAAGATATAAAGTTGAAAAAATAACACATTGCCGGAAAAAACATATTGACGCTAACATATATATATATATATGAAGAAATTTTTTAGACATAATAGTAATATATAAAAAATTTTAACAGCGTCTACAAGGATTTTCACTGGATGCAGACCCCCTTAAAAACCTTTACCTAACCCCCTGAAAAATCCCCACCACCTTCGGCGGAGATGTTTCTTTATCATTATTTTCACCTATTTATTTATTGATACTCTTTTCAAATAATTTATAAAGGATAACTTAAATTAATCTATCTCTACTACCAACTATCGATATTTTGTGAATATTAGGAATTTATTTTTTAGAAAATAAATTTAATTAAAACCTCCATTATTTACAATGAATTAATTATTATGGCATTATGAGCTTGCTGAAATATCTAAACCTTTTAAATTATATTTAAAAGGATAGTTTATTTGGAAAACAATGTGTATGATTGTTTGCAATATATAGATTTGGTCGATGAATTGTATTATAATAATACTATAATAAAAGTATTAATTTTTACAGCAATAAACTTTGTCTTATTTCATCTCAAAATTTAATAGATAACCCTCCCAAAAAATTTATTCCTACCCCCATTAAAGCAGCTTACCCCCTCAAAAAAATAGGATGCACACTGTTCCTACCCCTCCAGCTCATGTAGACGCTGGGGATGGGCAATCAATTCCTATGGTACCTTATCCCGAGTTTACCCTAACTTCTTTACCCTATAGGAGGAATATTATATTAAATTTATCTCTTTGATAAGTTGCTATGGAAACTTATCTCCCAATTGCAAAAATCTATTCAAATCTTCCGAAGAGGCATGCAGATTTTGAAGAACTATTTATGGTAGAATCCTATCCTCTTTTTTCTATCTTAAGACTACCTTTATTTTGAGTAGGCTCATGTAAACTTTAATGGTATAACGACGTAAAGCTAATAGATTCCCTGAAAAGAAAAGAAAAAGAAAGATTTAAGGAAAACAAAAAAAGTTATAAATTAATTAGGATATAGTTATAGGAAATGCTATATTTTTTCAGTTCCTTTGTGATAGACATTTTTAAATGTATTTAAATTACCATAAAGGTATCACTAACAGCAAATGGGGTTGATAATATTTTGCTTTCTTTTTTGAAATTATGACTTAGCGAATTTTTTATTTTTATCAACCCCGAAGTCATTATTCGTTTAACATAACCCCCCCCCCCACCCCCTCCTCCCAAATATATAATAAAGATTCGATAAAAATAAAAAAGTTGGAATTATGTTATAAATAAATAAAATATATTTTGATTTTATTATGTGAAAAATTTAAAAAAATTATAACAAATATAAAAAAAATATTCAAGTGCCAAGGACGTTGTTATATAATCATATTTCATATACTTCTTTTTGTTCCATCAAAAATAAATATAGCTATGTGTGCTTGAATCGACTTAATGATCTTTTTTGGGCATAATTAAGGTATAATATAGTCCATATACAAAAACTATTGTATCACATATGAGAAATCTCAATAAAACAAAGCCCCAATCATT